AAACCAGTTTTATTAGGTAAGGACTTGTGTCGCTAAAGTTTCGTCGGAACGAAGTTACGGAAAGTTAATTAACAAACGGAGACGGAACAATATTTAATAAATAATTTTACATTTAAAATGCTACAAAGATTGTTTCTTTTCTATCGCTTATAGGGCTTTCATTGTTGTTTTCAAATTTACAACTTTGGAATATTTGAATACTATTTTTCAAATAAAACTAAATAAAAAGCCTTGCGCATTCTAAGATTTTTTGTTTTTTCCGGAATGTTGAAATAATATTATAAATATTTTTTATTTGTCTAACTTTTCTGAAACCCAAAGAAAAAAGTTTTAAATAATTGAAACTAGTGATAAAATAATTTGAATATTCATAAGAAGTATATAGGCTATAATACATTTTTGTTCACCTCAATCAAATAGAACCGAAATATTTAGATAAACAGTTGAAAGTACGGCGGATGTTACTGACGTAGTGGCCTCGGTTTATCAAAGTGGTAAGTATATAGCAACCTAACACGTACTTATGGTTAGTTTGATTGAACCTATTCATCATCAGAAAGTATATGCCAACTGAACTGTTAAATTGATATTCTAATGTCTCCTGTTAAAAGGTTTAGATCGGAGAAGACAATAAATTCTTGGTGGAACTTTATCGGTTTGAGATAGATATTCCAAGGCATTCTGGGTAGCATCTGTGCCAACAACAGTCAGCTGACGGCTCAGGCTAGAAGGAGTAAGAGGTCTAGAGTTTAACAGTACAGGATCATCTGTATATGACTTGTAGTTGTAACAAAGTAAACATTTGAAAAATCGTTTAAAGCTTTTTCTAAATCGCGTGCTCATTGAAGCATAAATAAATGGGTTTACACAGGAATTAAGAAAAGCGAAAAGGTTAATGCATAGCATAGTGAAGAAAAAATTCTCTCTCTGAAAAAAATTAACTCTCTGATATTGGGTTATAATTGATATCAAGAAGTATGGGGTCCAAGACAAAAAAAAGGCAATCACAACCACGACCACCATCTTGGCAATCTGAAAAAAAGTATACAGCTGTTATTAGAATGTGATCTTTTTTGTTGGTTACCTAAATAGTTAATTTACTTATAACAATAAAAAACTGTATTTCAGTGTATTATCTGGTGCAAATAATTCAAAGTCCAATTCATGTAAAATTAAAACCAATTAGTTACTTCCTTTCACGGTTATACAAGCTTGAATATCTGTACAATGTCGTAAATTATTGTAGGCCTACTTTACAAACGCTGTTAATTAACGTAAAATAAATCTAACTTCAAATATTCTATCCCACATCAACGCAGTTCATTGATGCTAATTACTCACACGTCATGTTATGTATAGAAGCGTCCAACAGAAACAGTGACTTCAACCTTTCCTCTTGTTGGAACTTTATGTCTAGTTGATGTTCACATCAATTCATCCTTTCTTTATCTCTGGAGGCATTTTCACATCATTATTACCAGATCGGGTTGAACAATTGTATCTGTAAAACTAGTGTCAATTAACATACTACAAAACTTGCCATCAATAAATCCGTTGACAGGTTTCTTTAAAGACTACACTCCTTCTTTTTATTTTGACAGATGAAGTATTTCAATCCTGAAGATATCGTCTCTTTGCTTTATTATCAACGACTGATTCATCACAGTCTCCATGTTTTCCACATTTCCAGCAGTTCTCTTTTCCTTTCATTCTTCAGGACCAGTTCCTAGCAGTATGCCCTTTCACATTAAAGTCAGCACTTTCCATCCTGTGGTTTACTTCCTCCATTCCGAGTAAACAGATTTCTTATGAAAGTCTTGACTGCAGTTCTTGGAAATATGCACTTTTAAGGTGCAACTGAAACACATTCAGTTGTATGGTTTGCTTTTTCTATATTCTGAGTTAACTGTTGTCCAATGAATCGTTTGATACCTTCAAGATCTTCAGCAGAGAGAGTTGATATTTCAATCATATTTTACCTCACAAATCCCTGGGTAGTGCTTTTCGTTGTTTATGTACGACTTTAATTGATTCAAGTTCCATCGCAAACGAAGAAGTTTCCTTTGAAGATGTACTTCTACTTTCCTTTAGACTATTTTCCACATCTTTCACTAATTTGTCTAAGGTCTCATCTTTTCTCCATAATCTTCTCCTGAAATTTGAAACTTCCTTTTGGAGTGTCACTTTAAATCTGTTTGATAGGGTAGTCATTGGTGCTTGATAGTTTTTACGGCTTTCAGTTGGGAAATTGCTTAATGTCATTAAAGCTTGTCCTTTTAAAGGAGCAGAGATGATATATTTGTTGTTCACTAATACATACTTTCACCAAGTTGGAACTAACCCTGGTACACTTCCAACAGTATTTTTGAATCATAATCTGGGCGATTTGTTGAAATGGTTAGCTAAACGCTGGAAATGGATTAGTTAATGATTTAGCTGGAGTAGCCCATAAAGGTTATAGATGGCAAATTAGTAGTGGTAACAATTGTAGATCAAATGGGTTCTACTATTCCTTCTATCACAGTTAATAGTATTAGAGGATGGAATTCTTCAGCAGATGCAGACAAGTATATCTTGTTTGACCTTTGCATTTTGCCAGTTAATTTTCCAGACGTTTTATTATGGACTTCGTTTCTTTCCTTCCTCATCTATTTCTTTTATACTTCTTTAAGTGTATTATTATAATCTTTCTTTACTATTTATATGTCTTTTTGTACTTCGTTGACGCCGTATTGTAACTTTTCAATTTTGTAATTACAGTCGTTCTCCATTTTATAAATGGCTTTTCGTACTACTTCAATATATCTTATTCATTTTTCTCTTCAAATTTATGTTTTCCAATCTTCTTTAAATCGTATACCCATTTCTTTTAATTCCTCTTTTAAATAAGGATCTCTTTTTTCTTTTTCATGTACATTTCTTTAAATTTTTTGTCTCTTTTTTTCTAAATTTTACTCTCCCTTCATTCTTCTTTATAAACTTTCTACCGCTTCATCATTTCATTCAGAAGTTTGGACTTGATTCCATTTTAGTTCTACCAAAATAACCCCATTTATGACTTCAGTGCTGTAACGTTTTTATCTTTGGGCGATTATTTTATCATTTATTATTACTATTTGGTAAAATAATGCAATAGTTAGTCCACTTAATTTTATTTCTTTGACAGTACCATTCGTTCTACAAACTTACCGATCGTTAAATGCAATTCACAAATAAGACTATGTAGCCAGTTACTTGTTAAATTCCGTCTCATATCTACCACACACACTTAGAACCGACTGACTAACATACTTGCTAACTCAGTATTCGATTGATTAAAAAGGTAACAGATTCACTAACTAATTGATCAACTGAATGTTGTTTTTATTATATTACAATATTTTCCCACAGTCACAAAAACCTCGAGGTGTCACGTCAGATCTTAAGATTCAAAAATTTCTAGGCGTTACACTTCCTTTAACACATAGTGAAAATCGTCTAAACTAAAATACTAAAAACATAGCTTAGAACAATACCTTTCGACGATTTGCTTCCTGTCGGCGAACCGACCCCTGTCGATATAGTGGTAAACTTTTTAAAAGGCAACATGAAATCCGGACGCAGGTACATCCAATTAAACTCAATGGCAAAATATACATTGTGATGAAAAGGAAGGTGTAATAACCACGTCGAAATGTTGCCGAAAAGGCCACAAAACAAGTTAGTCTGGAGATTGTGCCAAATTGACTCTGCAAAGTAGTTGTACGAGCGTCTGCTGAGTCGAGAAACGGCAGCGCCACTACACAAGGAACGGCCCACACGGCTAGCAAGATTTTTATAGTTCTGCACTTGCTTTGCTCTATTCGAGACTCCAGAGGATAAACTATAGCAAAATATCTAATAGAGAAAATAAGAAAACAACATTGACATTTTTGAAAGCATAACCTATCTACTTTACTTGTACCAAGAAGAGAAGATCATTCTACGTATGGTATACATGTTATTATCATTATAACATGATTCTAAGATCATTATATGTAAGTATACATGTTATTATCATTATAACATGATTCTAAGATCATTATATGTATGTATACATGTTATTATCATTATACCATGATTCTAAGATCATTATATGTAAGTATACATGTTATTATCATTATAACACGATTCTAAGATCATTTTACGTATGGTATACATGTTATTATCATTATAACATGATTCTAAGATCATTCTACGTATGGTATACATGTTATTATCATAATAACATGATACATTTTTTGACTTATTTTGTATCATCACTTCTTCTGTCTCACAAAAATTAAAAGTAAGATTCGTCATGATATTAGTCGACATTGGATGGTGCAGATATAGTGTGGATGACATATTATTATACATTTTTCTTTACCCTCACTCAGAAGTTCTACTAATAAATTTAAATCTGTTGTCATCCTGAACTACACCAATAAAACATACTTATATACATATATATGTGCATTTCATGTTTTTATCCTTTGTCAATTTTCAACTTATACATATATATATATATATAAATTCAATACTATGACTCATTTATCTATCAGCCTTTATCTAAATACTGCAAGTAGCTGTATACTAATTACGCCCATGATAAAAAACAAAAAAACAACAACATTGTTTACAATTGGTTTAATACTTACCCACATTCAATATCTTCCCCCGTAAAACCCAACTTTTAAGTACTAATAAAGCTAAGACAATAATATTAGATAACCTTTGTAACACATTTTATATTCAAGTACTTATATTTAGTGTTGAAATATACGCATATATTATAATGTCCTATTGTTCTTAACAATATATAGTGAAGTACTATAGCTCTATTTCGTTTATATTTAAAACATAAAATGTTTTTCTTTATTATTGATCGGATTTTTTTAATGGCTAGTAATGAGAAAATTATGCATCTTCATGATTCCAAGTTCTCGTGTACATCAGTAAGTCGCAAGTTCATGAAAATACTTCTTCAAACCCATTTATTTGTTGTCCACACAGAGAACAAGCATAATATACATTCTACGCTCATTCTTCTGTTACCAATATAACTGTTTATTTTATACTTTATTTTGTCTCTATTATGAAACATTATTCCGTATATATACCTTGGACAATGTAACAATATAAATATAAAAATAGAAATATAAAAACCTGCAAATAGGAATTGTAAAACAAATAAGGAGAGAAGGCTGAAGATATTGTAGACATTATTTACTCAAACTAAAAAACCCTATTTTGGCTCAATGATGTCATCTAGAATTACATTTGGTGGAGTTAAAATAGGGATTTGTACTTCCAGTAAATAATGTTCACAGTATCTCCAATCTTGTTTCCTTACTTTTTTAACGATCTTTATTTGCAGGTTTTGAAATTTCCAGTTTTTATTTATCTTGTTTCTTGGCTTTTTTATGCTCAACTATTGGCAAAGATTTATTTGACATGGTAGCTAATTTTATACATTGTAATAATAATAAATATAGCTAGTAGCTTCATACATAATACAGGGGTTGGCTCCCTAAAGACACCGATTGTACAGTGCACAAAGCATTGAGTATCTACATGTTACAGTCATATAATGTTCATCTATTTTTGGCTGGTAATTCCTGTTTCACCCTGTACTTAAGCGTTTCAAAGGAACACCATATGTATGTAAGAAAGCTAACTTCGAGGGGTAATGATAACATTACACTAGACTTATGATGTTTTTAGCTTATGTAAAATATAAAAGAAACAACTCGACTTTTAAGTAACCTTACGATATTTGCAGTGCATTATTTAATATTCTTCAAATAGTTTGGGTGCAATATACTAAGCCGTTTTTGTTTTACGCTGGCAAGAAAATAATAATAATAAGTACAAGAAGAATTACAAACAGAACGTTTTGAGCGGATTTTCTTTCCCTTGTAAGTCTAACATGCGTGCTTTTTTGTGCATTTTTATATGTTTATAGTTTTAGCAGTCAATAGTAAAGGTTTAAAGAGTTGTTTGAACTGAATCTATACTGTTTAAGGTGCATTTTGCCCGAACGTTCTATTACGGTTTTGTGCAATTCCTTGCGATCCCTATTATGAACCACTATCGTGGTTCTTGATAAGTCCGTTTACTGAAAACTTCTTGGTTGGTTTAGTTGTTGTTAAGCGCAAAGCTACACAAAGGGGTATCTCTGCTCTGTCCACCACGAGTATCGAAACCCAATAATTAGCATCGTAAGTCTGCAGACTTACTGCTGAGCGACTAAGGTTGAAAGTTTCTTGTCCATTAACGTTAAATCTTAAGTAAAAGCTTGTTATAAGTAACTTTGGAGTAAAACGCTTCTCTTGTGATAGATAGGAACATAAAACTTTCGCAAATGGAGAACTTTTAGTGGGTTGTCGTTTTATCAGATTTTCTTCAAATATTTTAAATATAATTCAAATGCAATGAATAAAAACACATAACAGAGACACGGATATAAACAATGCAAACTACGAAATAAAAATATATAATTCTGTGAGAAATGCTGCAGAAAATTAAATACTTAGTTACCTTTCTAAACAACTAGCCACCAAAGTAAGGACACTGGCAAAAACAAATACAGTCTGCAGATAAGACATTGCTGTGCAGAGATTGTTGTTGAGAATTCCCCAACTTGCTGGAGCTGCCAGTTCTAGTAATTTCATCGGCAAAACAAAGATTCCTACCATCAAATCGCACAGGGCTAGGTTGACAATGTAATAGTTTACCACAGTGTGCATGCTCCTGTCGCTGAACACTGTAACACAAACGAGAAAGTTTCCGAGGAAGGCTAAGGTCATGACCCCTAAATACAAAACGATAAAAGAGTAGTAAACTGGAGAGAGTTGTGTAAAATCAGCATAGAAGTAACTTTTTTCCGATATTTCGGCCATGTTCATGGAAACGTTCACTAGACTGACCACATTCATTTTCGGATTAGAATACCTGTCAAAGGTAAAAAAACAAAACAAATAACGCATGACAACCGGTCTGACAGAGGAAAAATTACCATATATTTCTAACAAAACAAAAATGCATATTTTATATAACCTAAATTTTATTTAACATGATAAGCATAAATTTGAAACAAAACAAAACAAAAACTAACTGCAACAGAAATCAGAATCATGTTTTCGATAAAAAATTTGAAGAAGTGAGTTTTCTTCTATTGGCAGGTGTTTGAATTTCACGGTATAGCAAAAATTTCAAGTTTAAGTTTGTCAAAAATCTGTATCGAACTTCTTGTAGTTATTCCGTAAATCACTTAGTCGTCTTTTAGTTATCTTTCTATATTTAAAGTAATTTAATTAGTGTTTGGGTTTATTTAAAAAAATTGACACATTTTGATGTTTATCATATTATAAAAGTATTCTTGAAATAAATTCAACAAACACCATTGAATTGACTTCATCGCCTTTGAATATTCTGATCATTATATTATATACTAATCCAAAGAATATACATTGTTGAGGCCCAGCATGGCCAGGTGGTCAGGACGCTCGACTCATCACCCCCAAACATGCTCGCTCTTTCGGAGTTGGCGGTGGGTGGTGATGACTAGCTGCTTTCCCTCTAGTCTTACACTGCTAAATTAGGGACGGCTAGCGCAGATAACTCTCGCGTAGCTTTGCGCGAAATTCATAACAAACAAACAATACATTGTTGATATATTTCACCTAATGTAAAATTACGAATATCTTAACAAATTTGAATAACATTATATCTGTATATTCGTTCATCGAAACCCACTGAAGCTTGAATGGTGATTAAATATATCCTGCAATTTTTAGCTACATTCATTAACTGATCATCCAAAACTCGAAATCTATCTCTAGAAAATTAAGAACTTTTAAGGATTTTAAATGAAGGCCAATAAAAATTACTTTTTATCCACTGTAATATTATTAGAATATATGGTTGTAATAAGATATTTATGTATTTAGAAAGACAAAAGTTAATTTGAAATTCCTTTTTAATATTACATGATATATTACCTGTATTGGTAATACACTATCAAATCCTTTGTTGAAATTTTCCTTTCGGGTGTTATTTAATACGCCGTAATAGAACAGCTGGTTGTGGAAGTTTGATGAGCTTGTTTTGCATGCTTTCGCTTCTCAGTGAAAGACTGAAAATGTTGCGTCCATTCTATAGATTCAGACTATAGGTATAACAGCAAAGCAAATAAAGGCTCAAGTATTTTTTATCAGCCGCTCGAACTAATCAACTATTATAAAGTAATTATATAGGTAAAGACTCACACTATCATATTTGTTCTTCAAGATAATGCACGTCAGAGTTACAACAGTACAAGTTACTTGTAAATTAAAAACAACAATGAAGGTAATAAATTGCACAGAGTTCTTGAATATTACGAATATATGCATTACAGATGGATTTGAAATTGCTGAGGTGACTTAGAAACGTAAAATTAAGCCTAGTTACTGAGGTCATTTAGAAGCGTAAAATTAAACATAGTTACTGACGTGATTTAGAAACGTAAAATTAAGACTAGTTACTGAGGTAATTTGAAACGTAAAATTAAGCCTAGTTACTGACGCGATTTACATTCCCAAGATCAAGTCCAATTACTGCGAAGATATGGAAACTTTAAGTATCTAAATTTATATTATCAAATAAAACTTTTTCTTGCTCTAGGTAAGCTATAATATATATATATATATAATTCTTAAGATCGTTCTTATTGTTTTCGCCTCTTCATTGGCTCAGCAGTATTTCTTTTTACTTATAACACTAAAAACTGAGTTTTGATACCTTTGGTGGGCACAGAACAGATAGCCCATTGTGTAGCTTTGCGCTTAACAACAAACAAAATTATTCTCAGCCGTAACCATCCCTGCTGTAAAACTGTAGTAACGTAAGTATAACTTCACTACCATTCACATTTTAGTTAGCTTTTCTCAAGATAACTGAAAAATTGTAAAAGTATAGTTACTAAAATTGCCACTTAAACTTTAATTGGGAAACAAACATTCTTGCTTAAAATTAGGGACAGCTAGAGTGAAAACAAGTTGAGATATTTTAAAAGTCATATCGTTGCCTGGTTGCTTGGATGTGATCACTGGCTGTGCTGTGATTGAATGTTAGGGTGATGTTACATAGGACACTTATTGACTTTGGGAGTTTCACATGTGGCATTGATTGGTAGAGTCACATTTTGAAAATTTTCTTTGTCATGTTAATGCAACAATTAATTGCTAATCATTAGTCAGTGCAATGTCATGGTCATCTATTTTTCATGTATGTGTGGACAGTGTGGTCCTTAAAAGGATCATACTAGAAAACCTTAGTTATCAGCTGTTACGTATAACAATTTCGAATGGTCTGAAATTGAGCTAAATGATATTTTAAAGTTAGTAGTTAAATTATACTTTGGGTTTAGTAGTTAAATAAATGCCGATATATAGTCAGTTTATGATATTTGCCAACATGATTGATACAAGCAGTTTTCTTTTTTAACACAAATACGTTTTACTATATACACAACAATACAATTTACAATAACAGTTATTACAAATAGTTATTACAAACAATGATTTATAAACAAAAGTTTCACAAACTAA